AATATATGTATTGTTGAGATAGATAAATAGAGGAAGAGACCCGAGAAGGAACCGTCGATGTTCGCCGCCGATGGTGCTTTGTTTGTTGATGTTCGTTCGTTCATCGAGCCATCGCCGTCGACCGGAGGAAGGGTTGGAGAGGGGGGCTGGAGAGGATCCGGACTCCAATGTTGCGACATTCTTTTATCTTTGCTTCTTCTCTGTCCGTACGTTCATACGCCACGAACAGTCGCAGATATTTTTTTCCCAAATTTTCTAAACAGTCCTGCTTGGGACCCAGTTGGGGTGACCCAGCACCCCCACCTCTACGTTGGTTGGGAGCTGTGACTTGCGGATAGAAAAATAAATAAATATATAAAATTTAAGCCAATCACAAAATAGTGAGGGTGCTGAGTTCACCCCACTGGAATCCAACTCATTTTTCTTTTCTAAATTATACCTATGTTACAAAAAAAAAAAATTAAAATTTTAGAAATTAAAATTTACTAGCAAAATTATTTTTTGGAAATTAAATAATTTTATTACAAAAAAATATCATTTTATACTTTTAGCAATAAAATTAGACATTAGTGATAAATTATTATCCTTTTAGGACCAAATTTTTTATCTCAAAAAATAAATTATTTTGAGACGAAATTATTTTGTTCTTAAAAGTTTATTTATTAGTGACATTTTCAAAATTTTATCGCTAAAAGTCTTGTTTTTGACTTTTCGAAAGGACTTTTTAATAACTATTCTCATGATGATGTAAATTGATTCTTAAATATCTTTTATAATAAAATTTTCACTTTTAAAAATCAAAACATTTAATTTGTAAAACTCTTATATTGTAGTGCTAGTAGCCACATCACAAGACACATACAATCATTTATAGCACAAAGTACAAGCACAACAAAGGGGATTTACATCCCGAGCCTCTTTGGATAATTCAAATCATTTATATTATAAAGTTCGTCAAATAAATTAATAATGTAAAAAATCACGTTGATTGAATAGCTATAGTCTTATAACAAAAACATATTTGTTTTTATAAAAATTAATAGTTAACGTAACTTTTATAAATTTTTAAAAACCATTACAATCTAATCATAGAGTTATGAATATATGATTAACTTAAATTTTTTACATGAATAATATTCTTAACGAATCTTATAATACGAACAGTTCAGATTATCAAAAGGCAAGAACGACCTTCCACAAAGGGGGCACAACAAGTTGCTAGCAGCATGCCAGATCCCATCAGAGAGGTGTTTTGGAAATGGCATTTTTTAGTTTTTTTTAATTATTATTTTATTTTCGTCTTTAGTATATTTTTTTTTAATAAAAATCAATAACTTTTAGGATTTTAAATTCAGTTTGACAAGATGAACAGGAAAATTATAATTTTTTTTAAAAAAATCCAAAAAAAATAGAAAAGACAAAAATAAACCAAAATAAACAACTTTTTGGGCTTATTTTTGTCTTGAGTGATTTTTTTTAGAAAATATATATACTTTTAAGATTCATCTTGACAAGATGGACCGGAAAATTAAATTTTTTTACATAATTTTGAATAAAAATCACTAAAGAAAAAAAAATAGGAAAAGGAGGCTTTTTTTTTTTTTTTTTTCTTTTTTTGCCTGGGCCAAAGCCTACATGCAATTCACCCCTCCCAAAAATTGGGATATGTATACGTGGGAAAGTTGTTACGAAAGAAGAAGAATTTTTTTTGGTCCAGGCAAACCAGTAAGTGCTATTATGGTCCCCATTGGACACTACTATATAATGTCCCTTTGAGCGTCCCTAATTCCATGGCAAATCCAACCATGACTTCGAAGAATGAATGGTCTTCTGGTCTCTTCGACTGCTTTTCCGATACTTCATCGTGTATGTTCAAATTTTATTCCATAGTGAAACACTAATTTATGCATTAGCATCATCAGATGTTTCTGTTTTGTCTACATCAATTAATTGGTTGGTAGTTTACTAATGAAAATATAATATAAATAATAAAATTATTTATATCTCTAACAATTTAAAAAATAAAAATAAAAAGAAGAAGAAGAGAGAGAGAGAGAGATAACATGCTACTCTAATTGATGAATCTTGTACAGGTTGTCTGACAATTTGGTGTCCATGCGTTACTTTTGGACGGATTGCTGAAATCGTAGACGAGGGTGGAACTAGTAAGTTTGCTTTTAGATTGTAACAATTTTGTGTTAATCGAGAAGTGCAAAGAGTGAGCTCAATGTGTGGTGTTGGTGTCTCATGTTTATTTATTTTTATTTTACAGCTTGTTGTGAAGGTACAACATGGTATCTACTACTCTATGGGTGTGCACACATTTGTGCACCCCTCTATTCTTGTGGCTATCGATCCAAGCTAAGGAATCGATACTCGTTGGAGTCTACTCCTTGTAACGATTTCTTGGTGCACTTTTGTTGTGAAAAATGCGCCTTATGCCAAGAATACCGTGAGCTCCAAAATCGTGGATTCAACATGTCAGTTGGTTAGACAATTCCTCTCTTTCAAACAAATTTTTTAATATAATCGCTTATCAAGCCTGCTTGATATAACTTATTTCAACTTGAAAGTTGATAAAGTAGTAATTAAAACTACCAATTTCTCTACTTTTAAACAGTCAACCTTTTTTAGCTTATTATTTAAGTTATTTCTATCTTATAAATTATAAGCAAAACATGCAAAAATAATTCTTGAACATTAGTGGCTTAAAATGGTGATGAACAAATAGTTAAATTCAGACTTTGAGCTTTGTTTTCTTGTGACTTTTTTTGTTTTCTTATTTAGAGTTTTTTTTTTTAAAAAAAAAATTTAAACATTTTTAGGCTTATATATTCTACTCGACAAGATGAATTGAAAAATTAATCAGTGTATTTGGTTTCAGTTTTTTGAAAACTAGATTTTTTATTTTTTGTATTTCTTTTTGTTGTTAGTGAATATTTTTAAAATTTTAAGCATTTTTTTTTAATTTTTATAAATGCACCTTACTTAGATATATCTAAAAATTAAAATATTTGTCAAAAAATCTTTTAAAAATTTAATAAATACACAAAAGTACGAAAAATATATTGAATTTTCATATATATATATTTTTATATTTTTGATATTTAGTGAATTTTTTAAAGATTTTTTTTTTGCAAAAATTATACTTTTTAGTTTATTTATGTTAGGTGTGTTTAAAAATTTTAAAAAATTGCTTAAAATATTAAAAAAATTCAGTAAAAATAAAAAAATATGAAAAAACAAGAAAGTAGAATTTTTTAAAAAGTGTTTTCAAAAAACTAGAAACAAACATATTTTTTTAAAAATTCTAAAAAAGTTTAGAAAAGGCAAAAATAAGAAAAAAAAGTAGTCAACTTTTAAACTTGTTTGAATTTTTCATTTTTTTAAAAAAATTTAAATATATATATATTTTTACTTTTTAGATTCCTCCGCACAAGGTCGACCAAAAAGTTCCTACCATAATTTAAAAAAGAAAAATTGCAAGACAAAAATTCAAAAAAAAAGATGACTTATTTGAGAGATCCAAACGACTTCTATTTTAGTAATTCATGATTTATATTAAAATTAATAATAAATAAAAAAACTCGATGTTTTATTTGTTCGTAAAGATCAAATTGAAAATTATAATTATTTGAAAAAACTACAAAAAAAACTGTCACGCCCTCAAAATCAACCCATTATATATATATATCATTGACATGCATTATTTAAAGAAAACAATTTATTAATTCATTCATCGGAGTATTACTAAATAAAAGCTTTATATGTAACATCGAATAAAATGCCCTACAGGCTTACATCTTTCCAAGCCAACACTTGGATACAAAAAGATGAGTTCTAACTCAATACAAGAAAAGCCCTAGGTTTGGATGTTTACATGTACTAATAAATAAAGACAATTAACTAAAGATAGTCTTCAAAATCCAAGTCCCTTCCAAGCTAAGTCCTTTGAGGTAGCTTATCACCTGAACCTGAAAATGATGTTCCCATCTAGGGTGAACCACAGCCCAGTAGAAATATACTAAACCACATATAAGCAATGAATAAAGCAATAGCATTCAACAGATGGTTAACCAAGATAATCAATTACTCCGTTTTACAGTCTCATGACACTATTGTCTAAGACACGTTTTACTTTCCAACTTTATCAACATGGCTCAGAACCTGGCCAAACTTACAACAGTGAATTATATATATCATATTCACATTCTTCCAATATCAACAAACAAATGAGACTCAAGCTCAAATCAAAACACTTCATACTTCCAGATTGATACACATTTTAGTGCTGTATCAATAAAAACACTTCTAATTTAATAAGCACACATAATAGTGATGCTAATGGAGTCCATCCCCTATCTCCTCCCAAACAAAATCCGGTTTAGAGGTCCATCCCCTATCTTCCCCTAAACCGTGGAGTACATTCCCTATCTCCTCCCACACAAAACAATATATGCAAATGCAATGCTCAATCAATACACGTATTTTCTGTATCAATGCAATTATCAAAATTAATGACTTAACCAATGTGATTAGTTTCAGTTATTCCTAATCCACATGCAATGTCTACAATAATCACGACTATCCTCCACCGATAGCCCAAAACAGTAATTTCTAAACCGAAAATAACTATGTCAACAATTCAATAGACAAATGATTCAAATTAACCAATTACGCCATTTAATCAATGAATTTCCCAATTCCATGAATTTAACCATCTTTTCCCAATTCCATAAATTAATTACACAAATTAATCTAATAATACAACTAGGGTTTTTCCCAAAATTACCAAAGTATCCCCAACATATCAAAATACCAAAACTTAGATCAAAACTTATAAAATGGAGTAGGAAATCCCTACCTCAAAGAGAACAACCCAAATGGAGAAGACAGAGATGAATACCCAAAAACCAAAGTGTTCCAAATCGCCAAATGTTCAGATTAAATGGAAGCCCTCGACTCACTCTATCTTTTTAATGAAGGATCTATGGTAGAAACACACCCTAAGTGGATCAAATCTAAGAGAGAAGGTGAGTATGGAGAGAGAGAAGTCGGACCTAGGGTTTGGAATCAAAAGAAAATGAAAAAACTGATCAAATCCCGCTGCTGTGTATATAAACTGGACAGGCTCGCTCGAGCGAAGACTTGGTCGCTCGAGCGACCAGACACAGAGAAACTACGCTCGAGCCAAGGAAGCCTTGCTCGAGCCAACAACTCAAATGCTCGCTCGAGCGAAAGAAAGCTCGGTCGAGCGAAGAACTCAAACCCTCAGGTCTGAACCCAGACACACGCTCGAGCGAAGGAACTATAGCTCGAGCGAAGGATGAACTAACTCGCTCGAGCGAATAAAAGCTCGCTCGAGCCAAAACTGCACAGCTACAGGTCCAAATCAAACACTACCTCTCGCTCGAGCGAACAACTCCTCGCTCGAGCGAAGAACCAAAAACCTGGACAGCAACTCTTGGTTTCTAAACCCAACCAACCTGAAACAAACCTGCCCAACTCATCCTGTAATTCCAAAAGAGAAAATAAAGGACAACAACACCAATTATACAATGATAGAATCTACGGAACCTAAGTCCGGATACAATAATCAAATGGGAAAAGACCGGGGTCGCTATAAAAACCCTTAAGTTTTTAGCTTTGTAACAAAATAAATTTTGAATTTTGAATTTTGTCAATTTATATTTTATTTATTTATTATCAATATATATCATTTGACTATTTACGTTAAGTAAAATCGATAAAAAATAAATATTTTATTCATTAACTCAATAGAAATAACATTTAGGCATTTTAAAAGTCTCAAACCTTGTTTTTTTTTTTAAAAAAAAATTCCTAGTTATTTTAAAAATTTATTTCTTACTTTCCAAACGGATCCTAAGACTTCCATTTCGGTACCCGCCTCGCTCCGGCCCTGATTTTTTTTGGGTTCGAACCGAGTTCCTCCTAGTCAGCTTATACCGAAAAAACGAAGAACAGTCCAATTTTAATTACAGTGGTGCACCAAAGTTGGTTGAGTTGAGAGCTCTTCTCCTCCATTGTCTCGCCAATCTATGGAGCAGAACCAGAGAGCTTCGAGGGCTTTCCAGTTCCACCCTGCTAGACCTGCCATTCTCGATCTGTTCAACCTCTACTTAGGAGTACTATTACTTTCTCTTCTGCTTCGTTCATTTCAATTCTCATATCTCTCTCTATAAATATATATGTTTATATTCGGATCGTTTTTGAATTTTGCAGAGAAGTGCTCGCCAAAAAGCCGAAGAGTCAATCCGAGAACCTCCGTACGTCTATTTCTTCATTCTGTTCTCAAGAATTGTTTTTTTTTTAAAAAACCTTTGAATTCATGGCCTGTTTCCTTTTCAGTATTTAGGGTTTATGTTTATTTATTTATTTATTTTTAATGATGATGATGCTTAAAGATATAAATGTGCAAACAGATTACTGGTTGGCTATAAGTTAGGTGGATGGACACAATGGTTAACATTTGGTGCATGCCCAAGTCATCCAATTCAATTATATATCTCATATAAAGTTCCCGACTTGTTATAACTTAATATGGTCGGAGCCATTTTCTTTTGAATTAAATGGGTATGCAGACATATTGAACTTAGCTGAAGGCAACGTGAATATGGGGAAGTCTGCTGGATTAGATGAAGAGAAAATAGATTTAATGAAAATTAAAACTAAAATTTATTCTAGTATTGGAGAGAAAACAAACATTTAGATTATGTGCTTTACTTGCAACCTCAGTAACTGTTCCTCTAACCACAACTGTGAATATTAAGAGCTATACCTATTTATTGCATGACAGCCATTCAACCTATGAAGCACGGGTGCGGGTGCGGGTGCGGGTGCGGGTATGGACATGTTACTTGTATGTCAATACGACAAGACCTAAAAAAAATAAGATACGGGTACAGCAGAGCTATATCAATAAATTTATTATTTATTATAATTTATAGTTGATATTCAATTTACAAATTAAAGTTCAATACCAAAATTAAAAGAAGAAATTACAAAATCAAAAGAGAAATAATGATTCAATAATACCAATACAAACATAAAGTCTATAAACTATTTTAATGCCGTTAAATAGGAGAAATTATAAAATAAAGTTTCATTCCAAAAGTAAGCTAACCAAATTTGAAACACATGAAATTTCAATTTTCACTTTCATCAATTTCATCATTGAATAATGTATCTTTAATCTCTGGTACATCAAGTAAAGGATTTGCAATTGCAAATTAATTTGAACTCTCTAATAAATTAAACGTATCTCCACCAATGTCCCATAACTTGGTGTACCCTGATGTACCTATCCTGTACTCATAAAGTACTCACAGAGTACCCAACTGTCAAAGAATGTATGGAAAGTACCTGGTACATATTTCGGGTACTTGGTACGCATGCAGTCTTCTTGGTATGAGTAACAGTACCTGGTACGAGTACGACAATTTTTTTAGGGTAGCCATGCTTCATAGCATCCAACTACAGTGAAAGACCTCTAGGTTGGGGTTGTGGTAGACCCAAAAATTAATCTCAAAGGGGGCTAGCTTGATCTGACCCAGCTCCCACTCTGCCAATGGGTTTGCTAGAGGGAGAGGGAGAAAATGTGAGAGATTCTTGGGCGTTATGCTTTAAAAATTGCAAACATTCATATGCCCTATCTGCAGTAACTTTTTGCTCTGTTGGTATGTCTATTTCTATAGTGGATGAAAGTTAATATTACACATCAAGTATCAAGACTCTATAAGATAAGGTATACTACTATGCTAAACTATGCACAAGTATACTATGCTATAGTAAAATCTTATGTTATGCTAGACTATGAAAGCGAGCTCTTAGGAAAAGAAAGAGGAAAGGAGAGTTGTCTAGAGCTCGTTGAAGAAAGAAGAGTTGGTTGAGCTGATTCCATACGTTTTCCCTTACTCGAGCCTGCAGTTGGTAGGCCAAGTTCCTCTATAATCCCCCTTACAAGTGATTGAGTTGAATGAAGCCTGGTTCGGAATGAGTGATTGAGTTGAATGAGGCCTGAAGTTGGTAGGCCAAATTCCCCCTATAATCACCCTCCTTAGTTGTCTTTTTATTAGTTGGGTAAAATGACATTCTTCTGGGTGTTGGTGTTGCCAATTGGGGTTTTGGAATTAGGATTGAGGTTTTGATGGGGAGAGAGAGTGGGCTTCAAGAAGGAAGGGGGATGAAATCTCTGTTATCAGAATCTTACAATTCGCGATTCGATTCACAATTTTTGTGAAATCGATACAAATCTATAGGAGAATTTATTTTGGAAGTAAATTTCTAGTGAATGGCACGATTCACAATTGATTCACGATTCAATTCACTTTTTACGATTCATGCAATTTTTAAAATTATTGTGTCCGACATATTTTTGACATTTTTTTTCTCCATTTTTTTGGTGAAAATGACATAATATAACTTCTAATAGCATTTAATACCAAGATAACCAATATATATACATGATTTATTGTTATTTTAGTGATTATAGAGTTTTTAATAAGATCCAATCAGATTCAGGCAGACCCAATATATTTTTAACTTTTCTTCTCATTTTTTCTCCCTAAAAAACATAATATATCTTCTAAAGATGTTTAAGATTAAAGTTATACTATGAATTATCTATTGTTATTTTATTAAATTGAATATAGTGGAATATTACATGTGTGAGGTCAGTTATACCTTTTAAATGTTTTATGCTTTAAAATAAAATATTCTAAATAATTCTTTCTTATTATTTGCTTATTGTTATTTAGAAAAGTATGTATGCTTATTGTTCAAATACTAATATCATTGTTAATTGTTCTTACTTTGGAAATTGATAGTTTGTCTATTTGGTTATTATCTTTATTAAGAATGATTGATAAGAAATATCTAAAAAAGAAAAAAGGTAAAATGGTGATCTTACATAGAAACCTTTGTTAATTTATTAAAATAACATTTTCATTGATTTAAGTCTAATTATTTCATATTCATAATATATATTTAGCATGTAAATGTGTACATATATGTTTTTAAATAATTCAAAAAAAGTGACCGAATCTTTATGATTCACGATTCGATTCGATTCGATTTGCGATTTGGTACGAGACCGTTTCGATTCACAATACGAATCCCGATTTGACAACTATGGATGAAAGAAGCATGTGTGTATGCTTTTTTTTTTTTTGAGTTTTTTTTTTTGTTTTTTTTTTGGGCGGGGAGGAGGGAGATAAAATAGGCATGGATCGCGTGATAACT